GAGGACTCTGCCGATATGATATGGCTACGAAACATGGAAGATGCTGCAATATCAGCGGCAATGCACGATAAAATAAAGATATATTCCGTACCGGCTGTATCCCACAATCCGAGATTGACGGGTTTACCATCCACCATCACATTTGCCGAGTAGTTGTCAAACACAGTCGGGATGTATTCCCCGGGGAATGCGTTTGACGTATAACTTATAAGAAGGCATGTCTTTCCGACTGCGCCATCCCCAACGACGACACATTTGATCGCCTGCATTATCGATCCGGTTCCAGAACTGTTAACTGTGCAGGTGGCTTCCAAAACAAACGAAGCCCCAATACCAGCAAAAAACGAAACTATTCAAAAACGCCTCCTTTTGTTTAGCAGTCAATTCAAACATTTATTTAATGAACTCCAAGTTATTAGTGGAACAAATGCCTAAACAATTGGTTTCCGATCAAGCCCGCAGATTGATTGATAATAATTCATTCACGATAGACACTGCTTAAGGTTGCGATGTTGTATTTAAACGCTTTTAGTGATAGGAGGTGTCTTGTTTTAATGTGTCAATTAACTAATAATTGGCATTTCTGAGCACTTCGTCACATGAAGGCTAACAATTCCTCCCGATTTGACTGGCAGCAGTATTCTGGGGTTATGGTTCACATTTTTCAAGGATGGTTTGTTCAAGTTACACTAGTTAATCCTTTCTATTTACAGCGAATGCCGTTTCAGTTCAGTTTATTGATGAAAATACGCATGACCCTTTGAGTACCCTATTTGCAACGTAAAATTAACGGTAATTTACAAAGAAACCACGTGAGTTCCCATAGATCAAGGTGTATTGTAGGATATGTGAATTCGTTCGATACTTTCGAGGATGAAGTTAGCTACCTCTTGACCCCGGCTAACTTTTGAACCTATGTATGTCAAGGTCCGTTTTAAAGTATTCCAGCAGTTGTGACATAGCACTTTTTTGGGGAGGGCATTCGATTGTTTGAGCACCCTGGAATGGTAGGAGAATTTGTGCATCTCGAGCTTTTCTTGCTAAAAGTGCAGTTGAAATTGATGGCCTCGGAGATTGGACGCTGTTGCATATTCAAAAATATCCAGCACGCCAGACAACAATCCAATCCGTTAACAACGCGTAACGCCTAGAGAAGAACTG